CTGTGTATTTGCTACAGTCCGTAGCGGCACAATGCCATTTTTCATCACTACAAAACAACAGCTCCCACTACTGCTGGTAGTGATGTGAGAACATTAGCTATTTTCTGCATTTTATATGCCGTTGCTAATGGCTAAACTTTTTCAGCAGATAAACACTCGTTTACACAGCAACACACACACACAAAGATGCCCGACAAGGATTAAGAACTGGAAATTGATTAACGGTGACTGCTCAGACACGTGTTCCAGAATATTCTGCGACTTCAGCCAGAGTACCAGAGTATCTGTAGGGAAACCCCATGATGACACAGGGGGAACACACAAACTCCACACATGGAGTCATGGCAAAGACTCGAACCCGGGTCCCATGAGGGAATAGTGCCCCACAATAGGGCAACCTCTGTGCCACTGTGTCACCCCATAATTATGACAGTATGACATAAATATATAGCAACATAAAAGTACTTAGCTTATATACCTACACTATATACACTATGTTCAGTCACTGAGAGTTTTGCAATTACATGCACCTGAGCTTTGGTATAAGTGCTGATGACCCTCCCCAATAGCACTTAAAAGTATCTTTTTCCAAGGAATCATATGTAACCCTAAAGAATTAAATTACTATCTGGGGTGTGTAACAGCCATGGGGGTGTGTAACAGCCGGGGGGGGGGACGTTTGGCTCGGACCCCTGCTCATAGCCACCTCGTAGGAAACCAAATGGACACAGGAAGATAAAAGGCTCACAGTGAAAGAGGCACTCTGTAAAACTTTGTTTTGTCCGTAAGAGTGTAAGTGGGATGAGGATGTCCTTATGGCTCCTGCAAACACCAGGTTCCCTTGTGGTTATTCAAACTAGAAACACCAGCTGGCAGTGATTAAAACTTCTTTTAATAAATAAATTCCTTTTATTACTTTTGTCCAAGACACCCCCTTGATAAGTTGCCTCAAATGCTCTGCACTCCTTTTTGAGTAAGAGGGGTGGTGAAAGCATTCTACACATAGATAGTTGACATAAGATTTCTCAAAGTATCTTAAAACGTAGTGAAACCTTATGACACTGTTTTTCCAAACAACGCTGAGTTAGGTTCAAAAAAAGGGTCGGGTGTTCTGTAAGGGAAGGCACTGCGAGTTCTGCTTAGTTCAAAGTATTTAGAATCCTTTTCAAAAAAGCCTTCGCAAATTTAAAGAAAGTTTACTGGAAGGAATAATGGCACTGTCCTTGGAAATAAGCAGGTCTGGAATCCTGCTCGCAGGGACAAGCTGGTGAAACAGCGCGGGCTTCCACTCTACAATTCTCTTTATGCAAATGAAATGGTCCCACAGCTCTCGGCTCTGGCATGTATGAGTATTTTCAGTCGCAACAATATAAAATAAGTCTCATTATCTTGGCTCAACCTCACTGCTGACTGAATGAATTTTAAACTGGACTCCTCAGAGGGTGTTTACAGCACATCAAAGCCACCCGCTTGCAGGCAGTTCGATTAGGCAGCGTGATTCCATCCTAAAGCCTGGCACTCACACCTCGATCTCAATACCGCACGGCTGATGTATGTAGGGACGCCTGAGGTCTCGGGCGTCTGCCTGGTGCTCTTTATAATCCACTCTGTGTTTTATTTTGGATGGGGGGGCATTTATACAGTTAAGGATTTGAGATGGATTCTTGTTTCATGGAGTTTCCTCTCTCAAAGCCAACAATCCAAGAAGATCTCTTTACCGCATTCTACGGAAACTGAGGCACAAGGCCATTTCAGTGCCAAATTATTCCAAATATTTAATTGGCATGTAGTGAAATTAAGCAACACAAATGCAGAAGAACAGTCTACAGTAACTCGCACAAAACAAACCACAAACATTTTTATCTTATTAAAAAATGTTAAATTGTGCACCCAAATGTATGTGTGTGTGTGGTTTGCGAGTGTTTTGCAAGAGCAAAAGTTTTAACTCTATAAACGAGCGAGGTCTTGCAATACGAGTATAACGTATACACTTTGTCTGCCGAGCGTCACGTAATCACAACTGAGCCGATGGTTCTTTTCACTCTCTCACTGTGGGATTGTGGGTAATAGTCTCCCATGCTCGGTCTCAGTCAGCCTGCTTCACTTATATATTCAAACTTTAGTAGTAAAGCGCCACCCGAATAAGGGCGTAGCAGTGCGAGCGATGAATCTGTAACGACGATGCAATGTCCACATTTCCGCGAAATCGAAAAGGAGGCAAAAGCAGCTGTCATTGGATAGGTTCCTTGTTAAAGTCGCACAAACAGAAAAAGATTCCAGTGAGCCAACAGAGAGCAGTGATTCCGTTAGTTATAGTGAAAATTGTCCTACAAAATAACCCTCCTCTTCTCCTCTCTCGTCTCCCTCACACCATCCACGATTCTTTTCAAAGGTAAAGTGCAGGTTAATTTGTTTTACGTATTTTTTCTTTATAATGTATTAATCATTTTTATATGAATATTTTTGGGTTGTGAAACAAATCATCCGAGTCTCCATTATTTTATTATATATTTATATATAATAAAATATAAATATATATATATTTTTTTCTTTCTTTCTTTCTTTTTTGCTTTTTAAGCTAAATACAAACATTGCATCAATAAACAGGCTGGTGTAGCCCAGAAGGTCAGCACTTTTCACAGTGACCCCCACAGGATAGACGGCTGGGCCGTACCTCTGCGGCTGGCACCCCCTCAGGGGGGCGGCAGTGCAGCACGATCATACCCTTGATTGGCACCTCTCTTCCCTGGGGATCCTGTTCAAAGTTCTTCCGCAGGTCTGTTTGGGGAGATAAGCAGCAGCTGTCATTGCAGGACCAAGGCCGAGCGGCCCTCACCTACCCGCCTCTGACACCACTTGCCACTCAACCTGCCCTCCACCTACTGTAGATTAAGCTATTCTAGAACATCCAGAACATGCAATAAAACATGTTCCCTCAGCTGCTAAAATATCCAGTCGAGTATTATGTTTTTGGCAAATGTGTTTTAAGGAAAAGACAACATGGGATCTTCTGCAAATACAAGGTGAAATCATCTCTATGTTCTAAGTGTTTGTGATTCAATGGGACTTTGTGTCAATCAGTTCTTTGGAGAGGTTTTCCTACTCACATGCTATACGGACGGTGGCCTTTCGACTTTTAGAGGTGCCCAGATGGCTCCAAGCTACACAAAGGCACCAGTAGTCTTCTGGACCATGGAAATCTTCCACTTGCTGACGGGACACGTTGATCATCACCTCTCGGATCTTCAAACCTACCAACAAAAAAACTGGCAGCTTTAGGCACTAGTTACATCCCATTCTACCCACTGAGCTGCACACCTGTGTTAAAAAAAATTATAATGTCGGAAACAGACAGCCTCCCCCCCTGAAAGGTTGCAAAAAGTGATGTAGAGCAGAACCGAAATATTATACTTTCACAAAACAGCCATTGTATAAATTGAGGTTATGTGGCTTCAGCTTACTGATTAACCCCATAAATATATTCTCTCACTGCTGGCAGTTATAATTCAAAAAAATATGTCCGCAAACAAATATCTGGCATTTCCATAATTAACACTATTATTTGAACTAACTGAATTATAATGGGTTCAATCAATACGGACATAAAATATAGAGACCCTTGTGGAGTGATGATCATGTTCAGTTATTCCAAAGGTCTACATGGGGTTGTGATTTTTGCAATACTTCAAACACTGTCCCATATTAGCCAATGTGAGTTCATTTATTAGTCAATGTTTTGAAGTTGGTGCATGTCACAGTCCATTAGGAATACTTAGCTGTAATTAGGTGAAAATACATTTACATTTAACCCAAAACATTGGAAAAATTCTAGAGTCTTGACTAGTTTCGAAAATAAAGTAAAGCAAGATGCACCACAGCTGACAGACGCTATATAAGACAACTGAGATTCATCTACTCCAGAATGCTTGGAAGAAAAAAGCTTATGTGTATCTCTTTGGAGCAGAAGTGGAAACCAAAACTTCTTAAGTCTTAGAAGCACTCTCACATGCTTTCAGACTGGAAAATCCTTCAGTTTTTAATCTGAGTCATCAGCTTAAGACCTGACATGTGTGTTTGAACCAGCCTTTCTGAAGCACCATAGCCTGGCCTCACAAAATACTGGATTAAAGAAAAGACTAAGTTTCTGGGAAAAAAAGATTAATCTATAGGGTTTAATCAGATTTGATGCTGTTTTTATAGACTCAATTACTTTTTTTTATTAATCTGACATGTTTTTCCAATTCAAACAGCAGGCTCGACTTTTTGTGGTAAAATCATTCCAGTTTGTGAAATAAATAACCATTAATCTTATGTGACTCAAAATCGGCAGACAGCTGAATATATGTTTAATTCTATTGCTAATGTGGAGATAAAAAGGGCAAATTTGAAGGGAATTTGTATGCATTAAAATTATGTTAACAAGTCAACAAAACCTCTGCTGTCCAGACATTTTCTCACACAATCTTTTTTTTCTGCTCAGTGGAAAATAGTGAATGCAAGCAATAAAAAAGTTTGTACAATAAACCTGAAACATGACAGGCATCGGTCTCCAAGACTGGCGCTGGCACAGCAGCTATTCAAAAATGTAAGAGGCAGGCATTTCTGAAGTCAGAGTTTTGAGCAAATACAACAGGAAAATGCAATCCTGACATCACCCGTAGCTTCTCTGCGAGTTTGCGTCAAGGAAGAGCCAAAGGAGACAGGGCTAGGGAGAAAAATGACTAATGACTGCATTTAATGGGCCAGAATGAAAATGGAAACTGAAGCTGAGTGAAAGTCAGCCTTTCCCTTAGGCTGAGAGGCAGAATCCCCAAGGATGAGACGTCTTCGACAGGTGGTGTAATGGAGAGGCAGGTCTGGACTTAGCAGCTTTGTCATACGTCTTCCCCATTTGTTTAAAGGCAGAGCTCCATCGACAGGCCCTATTAAAGGAATCCTCCAGATTCCCACCTTCTCGCTCCACCCAGTGCTGTGCCGTTCCCCCAGCAGTGTGCGCTTTGCCGAGCCTCTTGCTCATTGCCTTCCAAAAGCAGTGCTTACATAGTGGAGGAACAAGCATGGAATCACAAAAGAAGTCAGCAGGAGAGGATATGTGAAGCTAATCTGTTCTTCTTCTCGCTTTTCCCAGGTTCCATGGCATGTCAAGCAGGATACAGAGATGGCCAGAGGGATTCTTTGAAGGTATTAAGCTACAAAGTATGCAGGAACTGCAAAGTGTTCTACCCAAAGATACCTCTGCCGGGACATGTGCCTGCATTTAAACTAAATAATTAAAATTGACAAAGCAAAATATGTATGTGTATGCAACCATTTGGGTAAAGGGTATTTCATAAATCAATCGAAAATGTCTTACATCTGAAAAACCTATGGGGGGAAATATATTCCAGTTGTGTTGAAGATCTTAGCTGGATCCCAGATCTGGTGGCAGTCTGGTTAGGGAACATGACACTGACGAGCGAGGGGGTTCGCAGAGGTACTGAATTCATGAATGGCTGGAGTAGCCCCCTTTGCAGATGTAATACACAGTATGGTGGTGATATAAAGTGAGGGTGTAATGGAACCACAGAAGAGCAGTTAGAAGAGTCACTTTCATTGAGCCCCCCCATGGTGCTTAACCACTCTCCTCACAGCTGAGATTACCTGTTCTTTCAGGGACTCCTGAATGGCTTTTTCGAGTCTGCTTGGGCACTCTGCTGGCAGGAAGCTGTGTTTTCTATTTCCCATCCAAGACATCTTGCTGTTCTCACGATAAGTGATTCGATTACGCCAAAATCCAATCGTTCCTGATATGCGCAGTGCGGTTTAACCCTTCCCGAATGTGCTATCTTGTTTGTTTACCTTTTCCCATGATTTGCTGTCAATAACAAAAAGGCGAAGAGCACCAGAAAAGAAGGCCGCAGATCGGAAGGTTTTCCAAACTGTTGTGAGGCAGGGAACTGCAGGCACTGTAGCTATCTTACCTTAGTAATTATGAATATGGCATTTAAAATGATATGGAACGGGAAGCACTGTTCAGCTCATAGCCAAAGAAAGAGGAAGGTGAGGAAATCAGTGGCAAAGCCATGCAACACAAAGTTAGTGCCAGAAGACACTTTATTTCTGGAAATGGTTCTTATTTACCTTTTTTGCTGTATCTGTTGTGTAAGAATAAAGACTTGAAGGCACAGCTTTGACGTGTGTTTTTCCTCATTCTCCTCAATTTCAAAACACTTTGCACTCTTTTTAGTCTATGGCCCCTGCTGATCAAATTTCCCAGGACCATCCAGAGAAAATCTTAGGTAATCCCTCAGCTTACCCTAAAAGGGAGCATGTTTCAAATCCACTCACCGAAGCACTTTGAAATTGGCAAATAAATACATGTCAGCACATTACTGGCTCACTCTGCTTAGGCTCTACTTCTCCGCATCCAGCCTCCTGCAGTGGGAACATCATGCTAACATTCAGAGGGAATGAGAAAATGAGGATATAATAACAGGCACTGTGTTAAAAACCAATTCTGATACAATCTAGAAATTGGGCCCCTTTTTAAACTGCTTTCAAAGGATTTAAAAATAAGTTTACCCCATTTTTCTGCACAAGTACTGCTGAAGAGTGACACAAGCATAATTCTTTGTTTGAATCTCATGCTAGTGATTCCATTGGGATACACAATCACGCCGTCAGCATCATGATATGACTGAATACATCCGAACAATGCTAACGTCCTTTAAGCTGCACACCTGACCTTATATCCTTTTTTACTTGAATGGTACTAGGAACAAGCGTTGATTTCACCTTGAAGCAAACTTACAATCATAAAAACTCATTAGAAAAACATTAATGCTTTCAATGAAAAGAAAAAAAAACATGAGAAAATAACACAATAGTCATATTTTGGTGCCATTGATTGGGTTTATAAATAATAATTTAAGTAGAGAGAATAAAAAGGTATGTAATATCCTTTTAAACCTAGAGGATGGAATTTAATTTTGCCCTGTTCTGTAACCTAAATCACTGCTGGTTGCACTACTGAGATTAAATTGATTAAAGCAGGGATGAATTTATAATGAAAAAAAAATCATCTTGTTAATTTATTTTCAAGAGAGAGCAATTAGGAACTGCCATATCTGCTGGTTTTTCCCCATGTGCCGCTTTTCCACTTGAGCCTTTTATAACGCAGACACCTTCTTAATGAAAGCTGTCCTTAGGTGACTTAGTAATTATTGGAGAGCATATGTAAAATAGAACTCCTGTCGGATAATATGCACAAATCGCGGTGCAGGTACATGAAGTACAGAGATATGCTATTCTCAGTAATTCTGTAGCATATGAGTGCAGGGGGTATGTGTCTTCTGTGGCAGAAAACACAATACCTCCTTTGATTTAATAGAGATGTTTCCACTGTGATGCCAAACTGATTGACGGAAGGGAGTCTTCTGGAACTGTCTTTGAAACAGCATGGCAACATTATTATTGATGAGGGGATATATTCTGAGATGACAAATTTCAGCACAAGGAATGAAATTCCCTACCCTTGTCACCAGTGCAGGAACCACAACCTGAAACCTGACTGCAGCATCTTTAGAGATTCTAAATTACAAAGGGTAAGGGGTCATTTTTTTCCACTCACAATAAAAGTACCTCTGAAATCCCAGAAACAAGACACTTTTGCAAAATTATGGTCGCACAACACAAGATCAACACCCATGAAGATGCACTGCACACTCTGTATTCAACGCACAGCTAGATCAAAAGGCCAGCGGCCCATCACTGGAGCTTTCAGGAAGCAATGGATGTGCAAGGAGACTACCGATAACAGATGTCAACAACATGTCAGACACTGGTACTGACAGATGTCAGAATTCTCCATGCTATGATCTGTTTGGTCTCTGACAGTGTACTGGATTCTGCCATCTGAGCCCAGATTAGCCTGGAGCTCCAACGTTATAAACAATGGACCTGGGGAGAGTTAGAAAAAGGTAGCTATAAAAATATATACTAAGAAAATAACACCGTAAACCTTCCAACATTCTCAAGCAAACTTGATGGGTCCAGTATTAGGAGATTGTGTTGCAATAGATCATTAGTCAAAACCTTCTGCAAAAAAAAAAACCTAGCAACTAGACACGGTATCTAAATTTAAAAATGCTTTAACGGCAGGTTGAATGTCTTATTCCAATACCGTTATATTTTTTATGACATATAAAATCATCATAAAATTTCCATCAAAACAAAATGAACGTCACACTGCCGACAGTTTGGCCGTCATGCT